TGACAAAAGAAGAGTGGTTTCCTTTGTTGCATCATTGATATTTTATTCTTGAATCATCATTTTCATTTACTGGTTGCAAAAAACAGTAATGTTTTTACCAGGCCTCATCTTTACTGCTCTGCCTTACAATAAATTTGTTCCCATAACTGCTGATTTCTTTTAGCATTGGTGCAATAGCATTAATTTTCTGGCTATGTGTTCCCACTTAAATATTTTACATAATCTTAAGAAACTGGCTTTATCTTAGGTTAAAGGAGACTGGTTTTTATCTTGGATCATTGTTGAATATTTAATAAGTTGGATATTTGGACAATTGCTGATTGGTCATGCAATTTTCTCGTTACTCTGTTATACATAACACCTTGTCATTTTATTAGACAAAATTATTCTTTCATTTTAAGAAGATTGCCCTGCTAGGAAACAGTTTCATTATCTGGATTTGCTGTTGCTTCTCTTACTGTTAAATTATCTTTCTGTAATAAGATGTGTATCTGTTGTTCTTTTTATCAGTTGCCCCTAAATTACGATGATAGATCTATTTGGGGGATGCATTGATGGGAGCAGGTTAGTTGTTTTTTCTCTTTAATAAGTGCAGGTGAGTCAGTCATCCAAGATTTCAGATTGATCCTTGTTTTTACGGATCACCAAGTACAGACTGAGTGTGAACACACACATCTACAGAATTATCAGGAAAAACTCTCAGTGAGGGAATTTTTTTCTTTTTAAATTTAAGTCCTAGCAATTACACTTAGTCTCACAAGAAGCACTATGCAAAATGTCTCTCTTGGGAATATGTCCTACTTCTCAACCTGTTGTTAGGTCTATGAAATACTCTGAACTGCTCAGAACAAAAAGGTAATACAAACACCTAGGTAGTAATAGTGTCATTAATTATCCTGGGGTTTTTTGGCAGCTGAAAACTAAAAAAGTAGAAGTGTTTGAGATGAGGTTCAGCTGAGGGTCATTGATTGGAGACCAGTCACCTAGCCAGGCTGTGAACCATATCCAAGTGTGACTATGGCCGGCAAGATGACAAACTCATAGCAATAATGGTATAAAATAATACAGTAATGTTATGACATATAGTATACATGATATTATAAAAATAATACTCATTCCCCGATGTGATTTTTTGTTTGTTTGTTTTCCTTTGCTAGAATGTACAAAAGTTAGGCATTTAGAATCCGAGCTAGATCTTTAGAACCTACAAACCAAATTAAGACTCAAGAATCTCCTGAATACTAAGGTAAACAAAAATCCACCAAGTTGAGCAAGGGAGTGTGCACGTACAAAGAATGTGTGGCCTTGAGGACATGGCATGCTGCACTTGGCTTTTTGATCGAATTGTCAAAGAGCTACCTGCAAATCAACATGTGTGTCTCTGTTTCACCTTTATGTGGATCCATCTGGAAACAGTGTTACATAGTGATTGATAGCATAAGTTCTGGAGCCAAGTTCAACTGGTGTGAATTCTACCACTTACAACCTGTGTCTTTGAGTTACTCTGTGTAACTCAGTTTGTCATCTGTGAAATGAGAATAAGAATATTTCCTCCTCCATCATATGATTTTCAAGATTATGCAACAAAAATACATATAAAACATGTAATGCCTGGCCCTGGCCAAGGGCACACTAAATGTTGGTTATTATTATGAGTTCAGTAGAGGATGAAAAACTACTTTATTGGAAAAGATTACATATACAAAACTCTCCAGAAATTCATATTTATTTCATTGCTTTGAAAGGTCATGGATAGCTACCCAGGTCTTGCAGGTATTCATAGATTACTCTTTTCATATATATTGTTGTTTAAGAGTAATTGATAATCATTCCAGGAAGAAATTCAAGGGGTGTGTAGAAAAACTACTGTGGCTTATTGTGGGACACTGGTCACCAGGCTCAAGGTTGAGAGACATTGCTTTTTCTCCAGATGGGTTAGACTTTTTGGCCTCTCAATTGTTACCTGCTCCAAAACTCTTGGTGCTCCGTCTGTTTGTTTTTGGAAGTCGGAAGGGGCTTGATTTGCAATGGCCAGTGGGATGAGGGCCCAAGGTGTTTGGCAGAGAGGGGTAAGTGTTAGGAGACCCTCTGTTACTATGGAGTTCCCATAGCGGGTGCTTTGCCTTCCTTCTCTGCTTTGCTCTATCTATGGTTCACCAGATCTGTCATGCTTTGACTTAGTCTTCACTTCTGTGTTATCCCTGTGAGTACAAATACAAACAAGAAGTAAGATGTAAATCAGACTTCCCACAAACAAGAGTCCCCTCTGGATACTAGCAATAATGAAAGCATAATGTGTACTAAAATTAACCCATGGCTGTTTCCTGAGCTAAGGTAGAAACACCACTGATTCCAGATTCATTGGTTTTCTACAGTCCTCCTTACTTTATTTTGGTGAAATTTGGAAAATTTTCAAATTAGATCATTTCTGAAGTTGTGCATTATCAAATGTCAGAGTAAAATCATCCAAACACCTCCTCTTTTCACCTGTAGTTTCAATTTCCAGAAGCGAATTTCTCCCTTCTAATTACAAGCTTGCCAAGAAGAACGAGTTTTTGCAACTCAGTCTGAGAACAAGTAACTCTTATTTCCTTAGACTGAGTTGAATGCAGGAGCCTTCCTGATTCTGCCACAATACAGCTGCTTGGGGTACAACATCAGCGTACATATTCTCTGTTCTGTTACTATTATTATGAAATTTTTAGTGCTAAGGTTCACTAGGGAAAATGTCTAACTCCCTAGTGGTCAGAGCTCCATGCTTGATATTTCTGAAGGAATCTCGCCCTGGTGATGGTAACATGGGAAAGTGACTTCTTTCCTCTCCTTTTCTCTCCTAAAGGGTAATATTTAAAACATGGACATTTTAACTGTGTGTAAAATTTTATTTTAAAAGTACTAGGTTGATTTAGGTGTATTTATCAAGTCCAAGTGTGCTTCTTTGGTGTCTTGTATTTACTCATGAAAAAATAAATGAAAACATGTATATTTATTTGGGAAGATTCTGCTTTACCATAAATAAGTGGCTGGAATGTCTTTCTGAACTGGGCCTGCTTGTTCCTTTTCCCTTCACCCTAATAACTAGGACATCACTTCTCAGCCAGAACTAAAACTTCTTATGTTGAGACTGGCATTCAGAATTATCTTTTGACTCATTCCCTAGATTCCCTGACAGTAGTACATTGAGTCTACTGAATGATCATGTGAATTCAGTGTTAGTCAGCAAAGGGCCAAATCATGCTATTTGTCCAGAAGCAAAGTCTTTCTGCCTCCTAGTGCATCCACAAACCTCCCTCCCTTTCTTGAAAGTTTCTTGATTTATCAGATTCTAAAATTGGTTTCTAACAAGTGCTGTATCCTAACAAAACAAAAATCATCCTGTTTTTATCATCCGTGTGTTTTTAAAGTTCTTATAGTTGGACTTTAATTTGTATAATGTAAGTTCTTTTGTGAATGCAACTTTATAAAATAGTCTGTAGCCAATCTTTTACCCCCTCTGAAAATTTTAAAAAGTGATAATATTCACTCTTCTTATATTTTTAGCCTAAGTGCATAACAACAAAGAGAGAGAGAGAGATCAGAACACAACAGCACTTTTTCTGTATTTCCTTCATATTCAGGCTACCAAGTAAGAGTTGTGCTGGGAATTTAGGAAAATATTGTATTATCTGCCCCTTCTTAATAGCTCATTATGCGCCAGGCACCAAGTTAAGTACTTGGCGTTATTTTAACTGATTCAATCAGTGTAATAAAGTAAAGTAGATATTAGCATTCACTTTCTAAGTGGGGAAACTAAGACTTTGCGAGGTTGATTTCACATAGAAAATAAAGGACCTAGAATCTGGACACTGGGCTCCTTACTAGGATGTGGTGAGTATAATGAGGAAAAAAATTAAGTGAAGCAATGTACAGGCTCCATCATGAAACCTGAGCTACAATTAAGATGTTCTTCCTCTGTCTGAAAGATCTCAGTGTCCATATATGTACAAAAGAGAGTACACAAAGACTACCCCAAGCCCTATCATACACCTCAAGGCAGGTAATGAGTAATTTTCTCCTTTTCCCTAAATGTTCTGACCCATCCTTTGCAAACATTCCTTCTAAAATGGAAGTGGCTGGAGGGAAAAAAGGAAATGGCTGCACAAGATACAGGAAAATTGCCATATTTCTTTAGTGAAAGATCAGTACACCTTAAAATTCAAGACTGAATTGAATAAGCATCCTGGTTAGAATTACATGCATGCCCTGAGTCAAATGCCTTCTAGTATCTACATATTCTATGAAAGGGAATAAAAGTCTGTGTATGTGTGCTTGAATTTGGTTCAATAGTTTCTTCATGCTCTTCAGTGCTAGCAGCTATAAGAACTAAGTATCCAATAATTTAATAGCAACTACTTGCAAACTAAGACAACTCCCGTGGCCGTCTGTGCCTTAGAGACCAGCTTTGGGTTTTGTGCCATATTCTCTTCCTTAAAGAATGTTGAAGATGGTACCTTATTTCAACTGAGATTTTTTTCCGTATCCTACATTTATATGTGCAAAAGGTTAAATGTTGCTCAGTTCTTTGGTAAATTGTAAATTAGTTGCCTAGCTATACAGTGAACAAGGAATGTTCCAGAGGCCTTCCATTTTGACTTTAGCTTACTGTCATTTTCTGATGAGGATTCAAGCTTTTACACAAAAGACAACAGTGCCGTAATGGGCAGCCATTTTGTGGAGGAAACTGGAAATACTCACCCTTTTAAAAACTAAGCTACGCTGATTAGGATCTTCTTATTTCTTCAGCTTAAGGTTACATTTTCTGCCTCCCACAGACTAATGTCATTCTCCATGTTGAGAACAAGAGCGGCATTTGGCATTTGGTTATCCCAAACCCAAATCTCTGACCCTTTGTTTTTAGTACTTTGCCATTTTGATTTTGCTTTTTTAATTTGCTTGTGACTCTCTGCTTCCCCCATCTTTTTTTTTTTTGGTACAATGATTCTTACCTTGTCTTTCCCCAGTCCGTTTCTGACCTGGAGAGACGTACAGCATGTTATTGTCAGGACTTCCCGTGCGGGACATTTGAACGCTAATGACTGGAAAACCAATGCTGCTGGTTTTAAGGGTGAGAACTTCTTTCATATTCTGTCACAGGCAAAATATTTTTATTTTTCCCCCATTTTAAATGGAGAGCAGGAAATAGAAACCCCCGCCCCAAAACAAAACTTTAAATTTTGTGCTGACACACAAAGAGCTTGCTCTTTTAGTAAATAAAAGGCAACTTATTTTTTAAAATTAAAAGTACACATATAAGGAAGATTTTCTTGGCTTCCCACATCATAGGTTTTCAAAGGTCTGCCAACTCCCAAGAATAGTCCACCTATGAGACTCCTGATGAGCTTGCTATGTGCTGTCATTGATTATCTAAGTGGTATTTATAACAATATATTTTAAAATCTTGCCTTCTGTAGTGATTACTTCCACTTAAATAAATAATAACTGATATATATTGTTCACTTTAGTGTAAAGCTGTTGCTAGGTCATGCATTCTACAAATTTTGCTTTTGTTTATTTTAAATCTTCTACAGACAGAAAAATACCAGACTTATAAGAAACATTATTTTATGTAACCTAAAAGTTCTTCCAAAGCTACGTAATGTCCAGTCTTTATGCAATTGTGCACAATATATAACAAGAACTGAATATTTCTCCCATGGCTGATACAGGTTATATTTCCCTCAAACTGCTCATTTATAGGAGTCATTTTGTTTGTTATCATAGTAAGATATGTTATAGTAAAGAGAAAATGATTATATAAAGTGTGTTCTAAGTTTTAGTATTTTTACTCAAGTTGTAAATGACTTAAGTTTTAATCCATTACTTTAAGTTATAACAAAGATTACTTTTTATATGGCTACAGTCTTAACCTTGCTCCCAAATAGTCTTAGTATCATTATATATCTCTATGGATGAAAAACAACATTCTATAGCATAGGGAATATCTACATAAAACTCGAGGTTCTGAACCTCAGACCATCAATAACATGCTAGATAATCCTAGGCCAAGTGATTTAATTTCTAAGGTCCAAAACTGCCCCAGTTTCAAAATTTTGTTAGCAAAGTCATATTATCTACATATCCTATCTTACATATGATCTTAATATGTCTTTCTATACCCAATGTATGCAAGTATGCATCCCAGAATGTATACTTAAAAATTATTTGCAAGTACCTTATTGTAGACTCATGCTAAACCCGAATCTATAAATATCCCAGGTAACCAATGCCACATCAATAGTTATTTGGTTAACATCTTCAATGAAGGCTTCACTCTATTTCTAGAAGGATAATATCCCTCTGTTTTAGAGGATTAGCACACATCTTTCCATGCATGGAAACTCTATGAAGCAGCAGTGTTCAATGAGCTTGTAATCTAGAGGGTTGCAAATACCTGTTGGCATCCCATTCTCTAAAACTTAAATCAAGACACACTTGATCCCGAAATTGTAATTGTACGAGCGGCATCAAAATTATTTGAAATCTCAGTTATTCCAGAAAATCCAGAATGTAATTTGCCATATGTATGTTTCATTTTTGATTGGTTTCCACATACTCCCAACTCCTACCATGTAAACCCAGGAGGCTGCGGGGGAAAGAAGAGCCAATACATAACCTTGGCTGCTTCAAAGCTGGAATGAACTTCTTAGTAGAAGGATCACGGACTAAGTACATTGACCTCCGTGAAACTGAAGAATCAACTTTAACCCAAATAAATGTCTTAGTTTTACTTATTCCTCTTTGGCAACTTAAAAAGAGCAAATGGTTCTAATAAAACGCAGCTCTTTTTGAAAACCTCTGTTGGTTTTGGAAAGGGGGAAACAGGATTTAGGCTAAATTACCAGACCCAAACCTGAATGTAAAGGGGACTGTATACTGCTTCTGGCAAGGAGGAAATGGCATTTTACTATTGCACGTGGCAATATTTAGTATAATATTTCACTCTTCTCTTAGATGACTGCCAAGAGTAACAATTAAAGTTCGCTTTTTCATAGATGAATTACTCTGAACGGGCTGGGCTCCCAGTGGGATTGTTTTATAATTTTGTTGATGTCAAGCCCCATATTTCATCTAAACAGGATCATAATAAGATGATTTTTTTAAAAGTGATTTTCTTCCCTACTCTAAACATTACCATCCCCTCTCTAGGGACCCACAAATAAAAGTGATTAAGGCAGGGGCAGGAACAGGAGAAGCAACATGCTCTGGGGAGGTAGAGAGTGTAGAGCACCAGGACTGCAGAAAGATGGTGTGAGTTTTTATGAAATAAGATCTGAAAGAACACAAAAAAGAGCTAATAAAAGAACTAATGAAAAAGTTCATGCAACAAGAGCTCAACAAGGGCACGTCCTTCAAATGAGGTCGGCCGGCTTTTGCAGGAGTTGCTTAGCAGGAAGCCATGGCCTCTTTAGACAGGACAAAGATGAACATTGCTGGCCAGCAAAAGCACATGGCCTTGGGTACCCAACCTGTCTCACCCAACTCAGTCCTGACACTGAATGAGATGAAATCAATCTGAAAATAACCTGTGCTTCCTCGGGCTTGCTTTTGTGTCCTAATATTGAGCAATTTAACTTGTTTGAAGAGTGTTTTGGTTTTTTTTAACCAATATGAGAGCAATTTCACAAGTTACTCAGTAGATACCTGTTAATGGATTTCTTTCTCATCAGACAAACAGAAGCCACTCAGAGTAGCATCCAACCCAGTTTTGGGGTTAGGACATCAATAGATTGATGGTCTTGTTATCACTGATAACTTCAGAAAAGCCAACACCCTAAAGAATAGTCTCTCACCAAATCCATTTTACACAACCTTCTTACGTTTCATCAGACAACCCACATATTATACATCAAGACAGACAACAGAGCTAGATGATATATGAACTAGACTGGTGTGGGGCCCTTCTAAAGGCAGCCTTTATCTGTCCTTACCCACATGTGTTAGGCACTAGACTAGGAAAGGGGTTCCGCTCCCTGAAGCAGCTGCAGCTCAGACAGGTTCTCATTCAAGCAAGGAGGTTGGCCTTGAAAAACTAAAGGCTATGGCTCTCTGGTGACTCATCTCTGTGTTTCTTTGAGAGCAGGATTGTCCTAGAGTTGCACACTGATGAGCTAGGAGCAGAGAACGTTCCTCTCCTTTTTCTGTTTTCCCCTTATGGAAGCACTCTGAACAACCCTATAGTGAGATTAGCTCACAGAGAGCAAAGCCCTAAACATGAAAGCCACACATAAGCATTCTTATGCCGATGGAACTTTGGTTTTTAACAATTTTAATTGAACTAAGATTTTCCTATTCTGCTGCTGCTTAAAAAATAATAATAACCTCTCATAGAGTAATTAACGTCTTACACAGCAGATTAGTTTTTCGGAATAAACATAGTTCCATGAATGCATACCTATAGAAACTGACTAAACATGGTTGCCTTGTCGATCTTGTAAATAGTCCTAGCTAAATTTCAGACAGTACCCTTTTATTTTAATCCCCCTTCAGAGATAAATATCATATATCTATAAAATAATCTACTTGAGATTGTTCATGAGAACGGGAAGTTATTTATCTTAGACCAGATGACCAGATGTAATATTCTGCCACAAGAGAATTAAAATCCAAATTCCAACATTTTGCTACCGTCCAACATTTGCAGTACCAGGAGGTGACTTTAGCATTAAGCAGTTTGGTTTTTTTTCAGTAGTATTTCTTTTCTCCCTTGATCCCTTCTTTTTCCGCTTTTGAAAAGTCTTTTCTGTTTATTGTTTTGTTTTCTATTCTTTTTAGTCCTCTTCTTAAAATTTATGAATCCGCTATAGCAGTGAAGGTTTTTGCCATCCTGGTGGTTATTTTCAGGGAATTTAATGTATGCTGTCTCTTCATGTATTTATTCACAACTATTTCCTGAGCACCATCAGCATGCCAGCCCAACACATGTTAAAGTGCGCCCAGAAAGCGGGGCTGGGAAAAAAGGTCAGGGACACCATGGTGTTGCCTAATCCAATCTGCCATGGCGTAATTTACATACAGAAACAGAGATTCGCAAGGCACCTTTTTTCCCCCTCCAGTCAAGCCTCAACAATCTGCCAAGTCATATTAGAAAACAGTGTTGATGACCCTTCTCTCCTTGTCTAAAATTCGGCCTAATCTTAAATAGGCAGCAGAAGGCATCTTAAATATAGAGAATATCAATTGTGGTGTTTGCTGTGTATTTTGACCAGCTCTGTTTATGTAGACAGGAAATGTGGACACATAGAGCCATGCTGAAGGCTTAAATTCAGGCATCCTTTATAATCTGTGGCTCATACCACTTCAGGAAGAAGTTAGCTCTTTCTTGCGATCTCTTTTATGACTTTAATCTGTGTAAACTGCAAATCCACCACGCCTCTCTCCCCCAAGTGCCTGGACTGTACACAGGCTGATTCTTTCCACTGAATTCTTGTCTTTGGTTTGAGTATGCAGTTAAAATTATAATTGAATGCATGCAGCATTAGTGCTTTTTTTTTTAAGTGTATGTGTTTGGATTATATGACTGTATACAGTTCAACTCTCTTAAATCTAGGAACAGGAATAGACATCAGATAATAAATTAGGACCTTCTGTCATCTTTACTAGGCGAAAGAATGAAAAAAATGTCATTGAAAATCAAAAAAATGACAACTAAGTGAGCGAGGTTACCACGCCTTCCATTTCACTGCCCTCCCAGACTATGTAAGTCTCTTTTTTTCTACCAGCATGTTGCTGAAACTTCCCCAACCCCACTGACTCTTTCTTTGACCACAACTAAACTACTAGATATTTTTTTTAAATTTCTAACTGGTTACCCTCCATGGGGAAAAGAATTGACAGTCTAACATGACTTCTTAGCCTCCAAGGCCTTAACTTACAATAACCTTTATTACTTTTAATTGCCATCATTTTATTTCCACTGGTAGGGCTGGTAATTTTAAGATGTTCCAATATATTTTTAATACCTACCTGTCTTGCTTTCAGTTTGTAACACTTATTAAAAAGAATTAGAGGTGCTGAAGCCATTAAGCATGCTGTGTATTCAATCCAAACGAAAGGTTTTGAAATGTT